TCACGAATCATTTTAAGTTTATTTTTTTACCTTGTTGTACAAGATCTCGGACAACTCGCTGACGTTGTTGGAGTCAAGGTAGAGCCCTGACATGCCGGAGATGACGATCCTCTCGCCATCGAATACCGGTGCCGTGGAAATCTCCTCCTCCTGCGTCGTGTGTTCCTGGGGTATCGGCGTCATCTTTGTGGCCCTAACGGTTTTCTTTGAAAGTGTATTAAATAATCATATTAGATACAAATATTAAAGGTATCATGGTACACATTAAGCATCAACTTAAATTTATATCTCTTGACGTATTAAATGTGACATATCCTGTCCGTATATGAGCCATTTTTTTATGATCACATAAGTCTGCTTAGATTTTCAAGGTCAACTGGCCGCAGACCTAGATTTTAGGATTGAAAATGTATTAACTTTTTCATTTTTTTGTTTAGCTTACTTTAAAGTACTATTAAATAAAAGTATTTCATAAATTATGTCGTAATTTTCTAATCTAGTGAATGGCTTGTGATATATTCGGGATAATAATAATAATATAATCTATAATTGTCGTATTAGGCTAAGTACCTGTGAAGATTAAATTAGCTGTTTTTTGATATAAATAAATAAATAAATAACCGATGATGTCAATAAGGATAATGGTACCAATGAAGCAGTTTACGTAATGGTGAGTCGAAACAGTGTTAATTATACAATGCATACATACATTTAAACTGAACTTCCAACATTTGTATAAATACTTACTTTCTATAATAAAAAAGAGTGCCGTGACTGCCGCTTATACCCAAATGTTTTCTTGGAGCACACTAACTGCACTTACGATATACACAATGGGAACTCTTATATATACAATGAACAAAAAATATATTAACATAACTATTAATATTCGGGACTTCTTTCATAACAGTTATAATAAAATCAGCGACCCGACTTTAACCTTTTAAGTTGCAATTTTTTTTAAAGATAAGCCCTAGTTACCTATGCTAATATAGTTTTTACAATTTTATTAAATATTTTGGTGAACTAAATGCGATATCTAAGTCGACTGTCAAGCGTCGATTAAGGCAACCAATTTAAGAGAGGCCCTTGTTCAGCAGCGGTGTCTTCCTGGCTGATGATCACTATGGAAATGTAGTTCATTGCACCGTTACATCCCACTGGTATCACTCGCATGCTTCTCTGTCATCGCTGTTATGGAAATGGATGGAATAGATACCTAATCTTAAGATGACATAACATCATGCCTTTTATCCCCAAAGGCGTGGGCACAGGTAGGTAGGTATACATTACGGCTCTTAATGCCATTATACAATGTGACACCCACTTTTCACTACGTATGTTATGAGTCCCATAATAGGGGGTGACATATACCGGACACATTTCCAGACCCCGTGCTACTAGCCACCCCAGTAATACTTTGCCCGACCCGGGAATTGAACCCAAGACCCCTGACCAGCGGCAGTCATGCACTTGCGGCCACTCGGCCAACGAGGTAGTAGATAATTGTCTGAAGAAATTTTTAAGTATATGCAAGGTAAGGCAATTCTGTATGTTGGAGTTTTTTTGGTACTTTTGTTTATTTTGCTTTATAAATAAAAATATTTCAAACAGCAAATTTCAATAAAAAATCATAAAAGTATCCAATGCATCTATGCTTTTTTTAAATTTTTTTTCAAGATTTTTTAAAGTTTTAGTCGTAAAGTAGGCAGAATAAGTTGGATTCTTGACGTGGTACATTTTTAGGTATTAAAAAAGGAACTAACGTCAAATTTGATACTAGACTGTTTAGCTGACATAACAAATCACTCTCTAGTTGACAATTCACTGATATAATTAATTCAATAATAAGTAACAGTTTTTTATTTATTGATGTTTTTGTAGTTCAATCAGGATTTTTTCACCAAAACCGAAAATGTTGAATATCTCAGAAACTAGCCACTTTCGGACCAGAGACATCAGGGCTACTTTTGTAGGAAATTAGTTGTGTTATCACCTCCTGAGAGAAATACATAGAGTTACGTTATAGTACGAGTTACAAGTCACCCTGTATATTATTTTATGTTAGCAAGGCACAGACAATAGTTAAATCAAACTACTATTTGAGGTCATTTATCTAGAGTATGTTTTTGTCGAAATAAACGTAATTTTACATTTTAAGAGCTAAATTCACGAAAATATACCTTGCAAACCTGAATCTTAAAATGGATTCCGAATTCACAGAATAGGTTGATTTTTACTTTACATACCGAATTCATGTAACGGGCATAGAATAATTTCCTTTCAACTAAATAATGTCGTTTAATCTATCTATTCGAAGTTGTCAAATTTTGAAAATGAATAATTATAGGTATCAACACAGACAAGATCTTAAGTATTTCATTTTTTTTTGTCAAAACTGAACAACAGTTTTGTCGAAATCTGTAATATAGTTATACAATAACTAAATAATACTGTTCGTCTAGTGAATGTTCCATAACGTCACAACAAAACTTTTTACATATATTTCATTTGTTATTCACGTATTCAATTATTTTGATAAATTCATATAAATAATTTAAAGTGCAAATCAAAGTAAAGCGTATCAGTTGCTCTACTATTACATATTGATTATATTATAGATTAGGTATACTATTGATATTAGGTGGATGAAAACTCTCCTTAAAACATTCAATTTACGAATGAAATAAATGTACACAAACATGTAAAATATTCGATTTATTTTCTATTCGCCAAAAGTCTTAGTGAGTTTGTCAACGATGATCCGCATTCTCTCTGAGAAGTATTGATCGATCTGTCCTAACACTCTCACAACATGCAGCATCTTCTGGACACCCTTCTTGAACCTCTCCATCCTCTCTGCACTGGAATCTACTTTCATCACCGACGTTGGAAGTATCGAAGGTCCTATCCTGGGCGGCGAGAAAGGCCCACGCCACTCCTTGAGTCTAGGTTCATTAAATGTTCCTGGAATCCTCAACTTTGGTATTCGCCTTAAGTTTTCCATGAAGTCCGGTGGTGGTGCTATAGATATTGGTACTTGTGTGTCACTATATCCAATCTGGTCCTCGGGTTCGATGAGAAGGAATTTCCCGCCTTGGATCGATTTTGGGAAGACATTGTGAATGAGGTTGCAGAATGAGTTTACGTCTAAGTGAGAGTTGCTTTTGAAGTCAGATGTCCTGTATTTGGACCCGTATGAAACCTGGAACATGATAATTTGTTTGATTAAAACATTTGAAAGCTCTGAATGAACACATTTAGATAAATGAATTATTGATTGAATTGGAGGAAAGAAACTAAAGGCGAGGAATCAATCAAATTGACGGGAAAAATGACTATACAAAGATAAAGAAAGTATTGTATTTGTTAAAATATCTATCTATCTTTGCATACTCAACATAACATATAATGGAAAAGTAGTCCTTGTGAAGTGTGATTTTTAAAGCTTAATAGAATTCTATATCACTGTACTCGATCTCTTTGACAGGATTTTAGTGTTACATTGTTCTCGCACAATCCAAACAACAATACTGTGTAACTAGAGAATTCTACATATTGTGAACCTGATTGAAAAAGAGTAACCTATGGAGTTTGTTGCTCGTTATTCTCCATAGGAATCTACACCTTGGAATGAGCTATTTGCTCATTCCTTTCACTTTTAATTTTTTGTTGACGTTCAAAAGTGCCTTTCTGGTCTAATTGAAATAAATGATTTTGACTTTGACTTTGTAGCATACATAATTATTGTCTTTGAATTTTACCTTACCCTTTCATCAGAGCAGTCGATAGTCAAGCGAGGGGGCTGCGGAGCGCTGGATACGTAATTTAGCTGGAATGGACATATTTTAATTAGAATTGGAACTAAAATTTTAAGTATTTAATTGACTAAAACTAGTTTAATTGTTTATGGTAAAATAATGAGATATTGAAGTCTGTTCGATTTGATCGGAGTACATGGAACTTATAACTTCATAGTCATCATCAACAAACGTGGTAGCCAAACATCGACCACGAACATCGAAACAGTCCATGAGAGTAAATTCCTGGAATATGACACTCGTCACCGAAAATTATGTTTGTTTGGAAGATTGCAGTTTAAAAAGAACAGGGTTATCTGAAACGCCTGCTACTAGTCTTTGTCAAATATGCAGTCTTAAGCCGTTTCTTACAATTCATAATTTAATCGGTGAAAAGTGGGTGTTACCGGCTAGTCAGGAAAATACGAATACAATTTTGAAATCCAAACACTGGTCGACCAAAACGTACCACGGCGTCATAGAAAACCGTCGTGAAATAACGCTTGGTTAAGGGCCGGCAACGCATTTGTTACTCCTTCGGTGTTGTGGGTCTCCACAGTCGGCACGGATTGCTTACCATCAGGTGATCCGTCAGCTGGTTTGGCACACTATCTCAATAAAAACACACTGAATACGAACCACCACTAGCAACCATACGAATGCTTCAGCCACGTACCACATCGTCTCGTGCACACATTCACGACATTTTAGCGTCTAAACGAAACTGCCATTCGTCACGTTTGCAGAGGCGCTCGCGATTTTAGCAGAGTCAGCGAAATTTGTGGGTACAATAGAGTGACCAACAGTCGTGAGGATTTTTCAAATCATTTAAATAATGATTTTGTTGTTATTGTTGCTATTCTGAACTTACATGCCTGCTATTCTCTAATCGATGGTGGTATACTGTAATTTATCACTCACATACCAGGAACACTGGGATCACACCAATATTTTTTTGAAGGAAATCCAATTCGAGGCTTTTTTCAAGGAGGTAGTCAGTATAGAAACATTTTATTCTAATTAACATTACTTTTGACCACAACATAGAAGGAAAAAGAAATAGCCCACTATCAAAGTAAGAAAAAATAATCCATAAAATTAATGTTTAATTATCCGTGTTAATCTGTGGTCGCCCTAGTATCTGTAAGATTCATTACTTCAAGGTCACAATGCATTAATCATAAAGAATCTAATTGTCGGTAGCATCGTAGCATCTTATCAACAGTTACGTGTCTGTCCGCACAGTTCAAGAGGTGGACCAAGGAGGTGTATAAGGGTGTACCACAGATAAGAGTCACCATGCATTGGGTGTACAGCAGTTGTTATGCCTGCAGTCTAGTCGTGTACCTCGCTGTAAAGATATATTACGAAAATGAAGTTAAGAAACTGTCTCTGGTGTGCAGTGATCCTTGTACTGGTAGTGACTGCGGTAGAGGTATGATAGTCTTTATTTTTCTTTATTTTTATGGCACATGTGCAAATTTTCCATTACCGTTTTGTAACAAAGACGACCTTGTTGTGAAAATTCTGAAGACAGCATAAAATTTAATTTGGTGCAATCATTTGAAAGTTGTACAATGCCCTTGTTACATATGTACTTATGTATATATATACATACATATGTAACTATATATGTAACTATGTACCTATGTATATATACAGACAAATTCAACGACGAACGTTCCTACAGATAATAATATTCTGTTGTGTGATGTCTGACTCGACATCTCTCAACTCGACTCGCATTGCTCGAGTAATCTGTCTCCGATCGTGTCAGTCTGCTGACCTATCGGGTTCAGAGTAAGGGAACACAGAGTGCACTAATTGTCTTTGCGCACACACTTGTGCACTAACTTGTAACACCTCCTGCGTAATGGGCTAGTCTAGATAGACTTGCTTCTATGATCGAAATCGATGGGGAGAGTCTCTAATATGACTATTGCACATGTTTCGTCAATGATACCAGTAGCATAAATGTAACAATGACTGGGCATGGGCAATGTATGTATAAAATTTCTATCCTAGATCTGAGATATTATGTTCATATGTAAAATAAAATTTGTGCGCACCTAGAGTAACAGTAATGTTTACGTAAAAAAAATAAATAGTTATCGTGACATCAAAGTTTGATTAAAAAAAGGCACGTTCAATGTGAATGCTATGAATTGACTTGAGTTACTATTTATAACAAAGTGCCTACTTATTTATTTATTTCGTTTTAGGACTTTTAATACCACGTCGTTGAAAACTATTCCACCCATAATAATATATTAATAATAATCTTGTTTTTTATACACGTAATGATAATGTGTTTAAATTTCAGAGCAGCAGTTTTCTAAAAGATTCGCTGCTCCGTCCTCGTCGGTCGGAGATCTGCTTTGGCTGCCGCGCGGAGGACCGACCCTTTGCGTACCCTCTCATACAATACCTCACGAAGGCCAAGGACATGTTTGTAAGAGGATTTAACTCCCTCGTTGACAAATTCAAGACAGCCAAACTGAAATAATTATAATTTGTAGGTACTAAATATAAGTATTTATTGATATCTGTATTTTAAAAGTAAATAAACTTTTTTATCATTTGTTTCTTCGTGTTTTTATTAATGTTTGTTAATGTATAGTTTTACGTATTGCAAAGTGCTATTACCATAGATAGCGTAGAAAATATTCAATCACTGACCAACAGAAATATTAAAACAGGAAACGTAATGCATTCACATTTAAATGTCTATTTAAATGTAAATGCATTACTCTTGAAAATTACGATGTATAAAAAAATTGGTTGCCTGTAAAGTCGGTATACGGGCGAAAGTTTTACGTGACAACGACTTAGAGTGGTAAAATACTGTGCTCGAGTGGAAGGGACGCGTGCCTTTCACTTTTTATGTCTGTCTCTCTCGCTCTTAGGCGGGCTAACCATGCCCGAGTGGAAGGGACGCGTGCCTCTCACTCGCTCTCATTGAGAGCGCATAACGTGAGCGGAGCGTAACGCAGTTTCTTGAAGTGTCACCCGGCAAACCAATTTATAAGACGTTGTCACGTCAAAATCAATTCGGTACTATTTTAACAGTTGTGCAGGCCCCAAATTCGTGTCTGGATATCTATGCCACTCAAGAGAGACGTAAGTCGCCATATGGGTGTGTCTTAAGTGGCTTTTTAGAGTTGGCATATTTAGGTCAATAGGTACCCAATACCCCAATACCAATCGCTATTACTAAAGGCACCTACATCAATGTCCACTCCATAGAACACAAGAATCCGCTGTACACAATATATAAAAGAAACCAAAAAATTATGCAATAATTTATTCAGTAAATTAAATAGACTAACGTAAACATAATTGCAACAAATACAAAAAACGAAGTTACTCTATATTATGTATGTTATATCAGAAAACGCTCGTCTTCCAATAATAATTAGTACGTAATTTATTTCTTTAGAAGCAAATACTTGAATTTAAGATACTCTTCCGTGGTTAACGTTCCTCGTTGCCTCAGCCTAATCAGTTTTTCGAGAACACCTGGTTCAGCTTTGTCCCAATCAAAGATGTTGGGCATTGTAGTCAACGGAGGTTTTATGGGACCCGGGGGAGATGGGGGAACAAAGCTCGGGAATATAGGAAGGAGTGGAGTTTTCGGAATCCAAGGCAGAATATAAGGTACGAGGGAAAACTTTGGAACTGAAAATAAGGATCGTCGATGTTTTCTTGATGATTGTTGTGGTTTGGTTATAATAGAGCGCTTTGTTGGCGGTTTGGCGTGGAGTGAGTTTACGAGATCCCTGGTAAGAGATTTGTCTTCAGATCTGATGTTGATGTAAACTGGGGAGATCTGCGAGAATTTCTTGATGACCAACGGAGGAAGACGTTTCAGTTCGCCTGTTATAAATCTTACTCTTAAACAGTGTGATGATGAAATCTGTAAAAAAACGAAATGAGATTATTTTCATTATTTAGATCTTAAGATTTTTGTTGGTTTGACAAGTTTTGAGTTGAACACGTCTACATAAAACACGGATGCTTGTTATATCTTGTTTTCAGTATAAAATAAAATCACTCTAGTATATCTATGTAGAGAGCGGCAGAAGATATTTACGTATGTATTTATCTGAGTAATTGGTTGTATCAACCAGTTGGGTTTTTACACATGCATTTAAACTCGTTCTATATTAAGACCTACGTTCAGCAGTTGACTATGGCTGATATGATGATGATGATACAAACTCAAATTACAAAGCTTAAATTCGTGCTCGTACACATATAACTAGGTAATTCACAGTTAAAAGAATATATTTTATCTTATTTTCATTTTCTAAGCAAAACGTCACACGTCCAAAGAAGCACTTTCTTAGTCCAAGAGCATTTGAAATGCGTAAGTACTTACAAGTACAGCTAAGATCACTACAAATATTGTCTGAACACTATGCTCCCTCCTTCCGACCATCCTGTTTCAGTAACCGATTAACAAAAACTTCGCAACCACTTCCACGCATCTTTATATAAAGACAGTTGTTTGTATACATCATTGTGTTACAATCTCATCAATGTATGTAATAAGATTAAACACGTAATACTATTGTTTGTAACAACAAATAAATGATACGAAACAAAACAATAACAAACAAATATATGATGGACATCCGTCACTCAAGTTATCTTTTTGTTAAATGAGTAAGGGCCGATTTTTCAATCGTCTGTTAATTCTTAACTGTAGAATAAAATTGATATTTGACAGTTATAAGTTTGGAAGAATTGTCAAATATTCAAAGTTATTCCTTTGATAAAATTCAACTGAGCATTGAAAAATCGGCCTTATGTATAATATTAATAACTCACACATTTTATTTTTTGTAAAATAGAAAGAACTAGTCTCATTATTACCTAGTGCTAAACTTACCTAATCAGACTTCTACTGCCCCGTTAAACTTCTGTCGAAGTAATGTCTTAGATTAAACTAGCTTAATATGCTGGGGTCAATATGGTATGTGATTTTTTTATGGATTAAGCCGGTGAACGAGCAAACGGATCACCTGATGGTAAGGAACCGGCGCCCACGGACACCTGGAATACCATAGGCGTTACAAAAGCGTTACCGGCCTGTTGGGGATTCGAAGTTCTAGAATTGTTGAGGATTAGGGATGAGGGAGATTGGGGAAGGGGGGGGGGCGGCTAATTGGGCCTCCGATAACCTCACACGACCAAACACAACGCAAGCGTTGCTTTACGTCGGGTTTATGTGAGGCTGTGGTATTTCTATGGTCGAGCCGATCCATTCGTGCTGAAGCATGGCTAATATTAGTAAAATGGTTATTATCAGTAATCAGCTTATTTACATAAGTATAATATACATCATTACGGTTATTTCAGGTTTCACCACCAATGCTATATTTCCTAGTAGGACAAAAAATGAACCCACTCAGAATAAAATACTCCAAAGCGATGGAAAATTACAAAATTATCATTAATTTTCATTCGAGTTCATACTCGATATCGATACTATTTTTGCCAAGTACTAAATCCAAGATTGTGACCGCTCGGTCCCGGAACTCTTACTGCTTAGTCATAGAAACAAAATATATGATTATTTCTATAATTACACAACCCAAATCAAACTCGTTTGTTACAAAACCAGACAATTGTAACATAACATAACAATTACATATTGAAATGATATCATATGGCGATAAGAAGCTCCTAGTTAGCTATCACCACGTCCGATCTTATCCAATGGAAGGATTCTAATTGCAAAATTTTCTTTTTCATATTGACGTAAAACCTAGATAGTATTTCTAACGATAACCACGTAATATTGATGTCAAAAGCAACGCTTTAAATACGAATAGAATTATGTTTTCTGAACCATAAATTACTTTGGAATAGTTTTGTGAACTTCCCAAGATGGGGGGTCAACAAATGTTTTGGTCCTGCATAGGACTTGTTTTGATTTCGTCCTGTTACATCATGGCCTGCGACGAGAAAGGACTTTGTTTGGTACGTTTCCTTTTAACAGTTACTTGCATTTAGAACATCAATTATATTACCGAAGTTTATTCCTACACTTCAGAGTAACTTAAAACATATAATTATGAGACTAATTACTATAATTATATTAATACTTCAATTTCACAAAATGAAGTCAGAACTTTAAACATTGAAGTCAAATTCTTTAGAATCCCTAAAACTATAATAAATGTTGCTGGCGTACAATATCTAATTTTAAATGTTCTTGTTACAGCTGGAAGTACTGAAAGAAATGAAAGAATCAAAGAAAGCAGAGTTGGCTTCGTAAGTAAACTGTTAAAATGTCTCAGAACATTTTCTATTAAGTACCTAATTGCAAACCTAATTCTCGTATTGAAATGTTTCAGGTTACTGAAGCCACTTCTTGCTACGAAATTGCTCGGTAAGTATCTTATTTGTATCCAATGTATCTACTATACTATCTTTTAGTGCAAAACCAACGTACATATCTGACCAGAATAGTACTAATTCCCTGTCTTATTTACAGAAAAAGAAAAGAAGGCTTGTTGTAAGGAGTTGCCGCCGCCACCTCCTCCTACAATAATGCTGATGCCTGCACCTCCGCCGCCATGCGCTGCACCTGTCCCACCGTGTGCACCAGCCTTACCGCCGATACTACTCGCGCCACCTCCTCCTGCACCAGTCTGTCTACCTCCACCACCACCTCCACCTGCTCCGGCTCCACTCTGCTTACCTGCTCCTCCTCCAGCTCCGATATATATAACTGCGCCTCCACCGGCTCCAGCTTGCTTACCAGCACCTCCTGCACCGTTAGTGCTACCAGCGCCACCACCGTCACTGATGTTGCCACCACCACCACCACCGCCCATGTATCTTCCAGCTCCTCCGCCAGCCCCTCTCTGTCTGCCTCCAGCACCGGCAGCTGCTCCTGCTCCTCTAGTTATATCGCTGGTTCCACCACCCCCACCTCCTCCCCCACCGTCCTGTCTTCCTCCCCCTCCTCCTCCTCCTCCAGGTTACCCTATGACGGCCTACATGGTAGCCCCACCGGTACCCATTACCTTGGAGCCAAAACCTCTGGAACTGCCGCCTCCATGCCCGTGTTCCTACAAGAAATATTATTAATCTATTCACAATAATGTTCTAGTTTAGTTTTATTTATTTCACGTTCACATAAATAAACACACTGGCTCGTAGAAATGTTTGTTTTATTCATTGATTCACGAAGGTGCTCGTTATGGTACCGCAGTACCTAGTAATTTGCACGAACCCTGCTATTTGGCGAATACACGCCCAAATTGTTATGGCTGAATTTTATATGCAACCGTACAGACAATACAATAAACATTTATAAGTTACATTCATTAATATAAAGGTTTTGTTGATTTCAGTTTCTGTAATTTGAAAATCATTGATTTTGTCATAGTTTTTTCGAGTGCCTGGTAAGCTAATCCACCTTCTTATTCTTACTTGCAAAAATAAAAATTATGAGATTGTTTAAGAATATTATAAAGATTGTAAGCATAAAATTACATATTAACAGCACATAACAAGAATAATTAATCCAAAAATATGAAATTATAACCGATACTACAATAAATAATAATGCTCGCGACTGTCCCACAAACAAACGGCAATATAAATTGATTTGCCTTCAAACCAATAACTGTTAATTTTATTCAACTGGAAAGATGGCCAGTATTATGTTAGGTCAAGCAATAGTAGAATTTTTTAAGCACAAAGTCGTCAGCAGCATTATAATACTGGCATGTTGGCCACCCCCAGGTAAATTAAATTGATTAAAATACATAATTATTAATTTCCCTAAAACGATCGTTATTCACGTCAAGATTAATTTCCTAAAATAATTAAACACTATAGAGTTTGCATATCGTTTACTTTATACTGGCTTGTAAGAAACAATATTTGCGGCCAATGCAGTCATTAGATAAAAAAAATAAAGACCAATTAATGTGAGTCGCATTTGTTTTCTGCATTAATTTTTCACTAACATTTTTCATTAGTGCGTAACTTAATATTTTAATATTACAACAATATTTATAAAAGATTTTGCTTCGCATATTTAAGTTTCTGATAAATAGAAAACAAGTTTGTAGAAGTGTGCAAAAAAAACTAACAAAATATTGAAAAAATGAAGACCGCGTTGTGATTTAAAATTCGATTATTTTTGTATTAGTTTTAACAATAGACTGCATGATTTTAGTCGTAAATAGTGTATGAAATAATATGTTGTATGTATTACAAATACATAACATACATTATGTTGCAAAGATAAGTCACTTAAGTACAAAGTACTCGATATTAAACTTTTTTCAGATCAGATAAAGTTCACTCGGGAACTATCACAGTTTGGGATGAGCAGTACGTTCTCCTGTGACCCATCAATTCTTGACCACATTCGCCACCACTACTTACAAGGAATTATCTACATGACACACGAACATGACGACATGCCGATGTTTAAAAAGGTAATTAAAGAAAAATAACTATACCTCTAATATAACACATCCTTACTAATATTATAAATCTGAAAGTGAGTTTGTTTGTTTGTTTGTTCCACCTTCACGCCGTAACTACTCAACCGATAGCTTTGAATTTTTGCAGACGTAAAGTTAGAAGTCCGGATTAAATAATAGGGTACTTTATAACCCGGAAAAAATTGATATTCCCGAGGAAAAACAAAAGTATTGGTATAGATGGCGCTGTGTGTATTGGTATATGTCACTTTAGGCTACTTTTTATTCTTTTGTGACGCGAGCGAAGCCGCGGGTAAAAGCTAGTATTAACTATTTATCAAAAGAATAGGCTGTTTTGTGTACATACATATTATTACACCCAGTTACGTTATGAATCCTATTATGTATAGCATAACATAACAGAACATAACATCACGCCTTTTATCCCCGATGGGTAGGCAGAGGTGCGCATTACGGCATTTAATGCTATAGTAACACCCACTTTTCACTATTTATGTTATGAGTCTCATGTAATAGGGGGTGAGCCTATTGCGATAATATCGGGAATGCTATAATATTGCACATTTAAAAATTGTTCATTACGGGATTCAATTCTTTTTATATTACGCTGTAGAGTAAGCAGTAATATCGACTTTCTGATTTCCGAAAATTCTTATCAAGTAGTTAGTTGTAGCTACGGGTATGAAATTCTGTCATGTGATCCTGTGAATGGCAACAGATACAACCATCATTCTCACTTATCTTTTAAAATTTGAGATTTTTTAAAAATCTCAGTAGTAGCACGGAGTTTGGAAATGTTTTGTTGAAAAAATTCGTTTTGTGACCCACCAGCTCTTTATTTTATTAAATATTATGTAAGTTAAACACATTAACTTTGTACTATTTCTAAGTAGATGACCAAATAACAATAAGTTCAATTCGTCTTTAGATAAAACCGATACATTTTATGATGAAGTACAAATGGCTGATTGTTGGCGATCACGTTCCTGATGCGTTGCGTAAGATTCGATATGACTCCGACGTGGCCTTCCTCGAATGCAACTCTGTAATGAGTAATCGAACAAGAGATATTACAGGTAAGTAGAAAAATTACATACTTACTAAATAAAGATACGACTGCCTCGTTGGTCGAGTGGTCGCAAGTGCGACTGCCGGACAAGGGATCTCGGGTTAGATTCCCGGGTCGGGCAAAGTATTACTGGGTTTTAAAAAATCTCAGTAGTAGCACGGAGTCTGGAATTGTGCCCGGTATATGGCAATAGGCTCACCCCCTATTACATGGGACTCATAACAGAAATAGTGAAAACTGGGTGGTACATTGTACAGTTGCATAATGTGCACCTCTGCCTACCCCTTCGGGGATAAAAGGCGTGATGTTATGTTATGTTAAATAAAGATACTTAACCGACAAGCATGCATGAAAAGACTGATGATGCATGAAAGAGGTAACAGTAACACTTTTCCCGACTCGGGAATTGATCCTGAGACCCTTGCGGCAGTCGCACTTGCGCCCACTCGGCCAATGACTGATTAACCATCAAGACAAATAGTTTTATTATTATTATCTTCTATTTATTTTCCACTAGCCGCCCCGGCTTCGTACGGGTGCAATATGCATGTATTGTACATATAATCCTTCCTTAAGAATCACTCTATCTATTTAAAAAACCCGCATCAAAATTCGATGAGTTTTAAATCATCATACAAGCATACAGACGGCGGATAGGGACAGACAGACGGCGGATAGCGACTTAGTTTTATACTATTTTATTTTATTTATTCTATTATTTAGTGATACTTATTTTATTTACTTTTAAATGTTGATTATAAAATAGTGAAGTATAAAATAGACTGCACGGTTGGTGCGGTGGCTGGGCAACCGACTGCCGTGCAACGTGTTCAGTGCAGGTTCGATTCCCGCACGGAACAACACTTTGTGTGATCCACAAATTGTTGTTTCGGGTCTGGGTGTCATTGTGTATGTGAACTTGTATGTTTGTAAACGCACCCACGACACAGGAGAAAATTTTAATGTGGGGCAACGTTTAAAAAAAAGAAAAGAAAAGAAAAGTGTAAAAAAAATAAAAAGCAGTAGCCCACCAGTAACATTACTTATCACAATTTCCTGGTAGCTGTGACGTCAGAAGCAGCAACACCAATATATATCTACGATGCATACGTGCACCCTCAAGATGGAATTGCCATTAACGTATGGGCTCACTGGGCTAACAAATCAGGTTTGGTACTGACACATGAACGAGAGAGGATACTTAGGAGACTGGATTTAAAGAGACATCCCTTGAGGATTGCGACTCCTGTAAGTAATAAAGTTACAGGTACAAAACATTTCATTTAAGACTATTTAAAGAATTTATTATGACTATCATGAGACATACTAAATTAACTAAAAATCGCGGGTTACTCACGTGAATATACTGAGAAAAGCTCTACTAGTTTCGAACCACAGAGGGGTCCTTCCTCATGAGCAGCGTGAGCGCGGCGATGTCGCGCAGCCTATTGGCTAGCGTTGGCGTTCGCATCGGTGTTGCCACTTGCGCATCTAGCCCAACGCGCCCTCTGCCGGATACCACCAGCTTTTGCTTCCAACTCCGGTGGCGGCGCGCTGGACAATGTTGAAGCGCACGGTACGTTTACCAGCGGCACGGGTAGTGGTTTCGATTCCGGGTTCGGCACAAAGTAGAAACTAGTAGAGCTTTTTTCAGTATATTCACGTGAGTTAACCCGCGATTTTTAGTTAAGTTATGAATTATACTTATTTTAAAATGAGATAATTCAGAACTTTTTGATTTTGTAGTTTTTTATGTGGTCATATAAGAATTTATAATATGGGGCCATGTTCTCACTATTCATACATTTAATTTTTATGTCCAGGTAGGACATTATAGTAGCGATAAGTACGATGGAACTTTCGTTGACTTTTTGGAAGACGAGTCCATCTCTGACCAGGATCCTGGGATTCGTAGTGGTTACGGCACATCTATGCTTCTCACTGAAGTAGTTAATGCGCAGTAAGTATTTTAGTAGCTATTTTAATTGAAACTACGGTTTTCTTCACAATTATTAACTACTTTTACGTTTACTACTACGTTTTTTTGCTTTGGAAAGTATGTTACAACGTCATAAATGTCTAATGCGTAAGGTAAATTTCAGAGATGTCCTAATAGAAAACGAGCTATGGGCAGCCATGATCAACAACAACAGTATGTACGTAATGCTATCCATGGGAGAAGCTGATCTCTCTGGGGGCATACTACGGATCCTTTGGGACAGGACCTTTACACTAGATTATGTTATGCCAATTTGGCCTTTCAGGTATAGACTTTAGACTTTAATTTGGTTAATAAAGATACGGGCTTTCCTTGGTGCATAGCTTGCTCGCCTGGTTAAAGTCAAGCGTGACTTTGCAGTAGGGAATACTTATGAACTTCAAGAAGTAATAACATATTGTCATGGCACTAAATCTAAACACAAAGGTAGATAAATTCGGTCTTAATTCCTCAGGGTAGGGTTCACGTACTTAGCAGAGCGTGAAAGCAGCAGCAATATGTACTTGGAGCCATTCTCTCCAGCAGTCTGGTGGTCATGTCTCGCTATGATGGCTATTCTCGCTCTAGTTGAGAGGGTCACGGCAAAAACGGCAAAGGAGAAAGATGGTGCTTTCTACACTGTGCTTACTACGTGGTTGCAGCAAGGTGAGAGCATGGTTCTTCAACCTTTAATAAAAAATATTTTATTCCATAAATTAAAAATCAATCAAATTGATGCATTATCATCAACTATCTGTACAAAGATTCTGGAGAGATTTTTTGTTGAGCCATAATATTTTTGTTCTTACTGATTCACTGTCAAAATTGCCAATAATCAAATTAATATAGTTTTGTTTTTTTTAAGTTAGTTTATACATATTTACATCTATACTCTGTCTCCCTTTAAGGAAATATATAACTTTAACTTTGTCAAATGTTATGTTTCGCCCCACAAGATGCCAGCGCGGTTCCAGAAGGTGCATCAGGTCGATGGGCATTCACAGTCCTGTCCGTGAGCGCTATGTTAGTCCATGCATACTACACCTCGGCCATAGTCTCAGCTCTCATGAGCACTGGCCGTGGTGGACCTGACTCTCTCAGAGCACTTGGAGACTCGAAGTACGCGATAGCTTCGGAAGACTATGATTATATGCGATATTTGTTCTTTGATGTAAGTTAATGTGAAAATGTAACTAAGAGTGTTGATCATAAATTGTGCATTTAAAAACTTTGACAAGGCAACCAATATTTTATAAATGCTTTTTGAGTAGCAAAAACAAACATTTTATTTGTATCTATAGGTGGAAACAACATGGGACGACTTAGAATACTTGAAAAAGAAGAAAATGACATCAAAATTCTACCAGGAGTTAGAACGTGGTGTGGAACTAATACAGCAAGGTAGTACTGCCTTCCACAGCGAATACAACCAGATCTATCCGCACTTCAAAACCTTCAGTGATGAACATATCTGCAAACTGCAGCATGTTGACACTATTCCTGAGGTAAGGACTAAGTAGTTTCAGATTTGATAGACTACAACATCAATAGAATAGATAAGACAAATAAATTGATCACCTATAATCGTAAAATGTGTGGAAAATGGAAGAAGAGATTTAGGGATCGTGTAGGCGACGCTGTGTACACAATGCCGATACCGCGTCGTGTACACGAGCCCTTAGGAGTGATGTGTAACATGTGAAAGTTGTGTTGGCAAAGCAGAAGAAAGAAGTGCGTTGCCGTCTTTTAAAAAGAGCGTACTCCTTTTTAAAAGGCCGGCAACGCACCTGTGACTTCTCTGGTGTTGCGGGTGTCCATGGGCGGCGCTGATCGCTTACCATCAGGTGTTCCGTGTGCTCGTTTGCCTCCTATTCCATAAAAAAAGAAATTCCCAATACTTACGAACAACGGTTTTCATTAACAAGTCACGTAACCAACTTAAACTTAAATTAATTAATTAATTTCTATACATTTACCTAAGTCTGTAGCTAACTGTATTTTTAAATAGTGTATAATTACTTGGAAACTTACTTTTATTTTCTCCCTTTATCTATTAGACTTAGTTTTAAAACGTTTCTTTACCAGACATTAACCTGGATAACATCAACGAAAGATGGTCAGTGGACTGAAGTCTTACGCACAGCTGGAGGTTGGTTACTGGAGACAGGACTTGGGAAGCGTCTGGTAGCGAGATTGAGGATACCTCAACCTCCTTGCCGAGCATCCCTTCTTGCTGAGAGGGTCAAACTAGGTGACATCGCATCTTTACTGGCCCTCACTGTATTCGGTGCATTGCTCTCAGTTTTCTTACTTGGAGTAGAGATTCTGGTTGCTAAGGCTAAAAAGGCTAGCCTACCCGAAGGTGAAGCAAAAGTAAGCTTAAAAAATGTTGGCGATAACCCCGATACTACCGATACTATATAAAATAGTAATTATATAGAGTAGAAAGTAAAATGTTAGTATTAGATGTCCCAAGAATAAAATAAATTATTGAATTAAATTGTATAAATATTTTAACGTTCAAAATTGCTTGTAGTATTGTAGTTACTATGTTGTAATTTCATTTTAAATTTAACATGTGGATTTATTGTAAACATGCTATTGATTATATTTTATTTTAGTTTCTTAATGTATTTACATATTATATCGTTGAATATATTAGAATTATAGAAACATTAGCAAAATATTCAGTCTTTATTTTCTAACCGAGAAATTGGAAGCCCGTTTTAAAATGTTTATTTTACCGACAAGAGTTTTCTTTTCATACGATAAACAAACTTCGATAATTACTTTAACCTTAACATATTATCACACAGATAATAGAATAAGCGCCAGTTTCACCACCTCTTTATAAGTACCTGATAAACTTATGTGACAGATAGTTCATACAACTTACGTTCTTAATTCAATTTTATGTGGTAGATAGCAGCTAACCAGATATTATGAAACAGGCTCTAAACCTTAAAAAAGAAACAGTATCTAATTAAATTCCAATTAATCTAACCAGCAGATAGCACGCGAAGAGACCACGCTTATCTCAAACGTCCTTATCAAGCCACTATCACTTTCTCCTCATCATCACGTTTGCCATCAGATTACGATCTTCAATTGATATTTATATATCATAGTTCAGACTCAATCATCATCTTGTTGGATTCTGCAGGTTTAGGAGTTGGAGCCCTCAAAATGTTAAGGCTATTAATAAAACTAAGTGCATTATCTATAGGACTTGGCTATGTAACCGCTACCTGTTCTCCACAATCACACGTAAGTATACTTTTTTACAATTAACTAGCTTTTGCCCGCGACTTTGTAAACGCAATCCCGTTTTCTCCCGTTCCCGTACGATTTTCAGGACTTTCTGTCTTAGTCACCTTATTCTAATAACAACAAATATTTACAACAAAAAAAGATGCAGTGATATCGGTCTAGACATTCACGCTACGCGGGATGCCGTGACCAAGGGAAAAAGGGATTCATTTTTATATATAGACTAGCTTCTGCCCGCGACTTCGTACGCGTAATCCCATTTTTTCCCGTCCCCGTTCGTGATTTTAAGTAAAAAGTAAAAAAAAAATTGATTTAAAAGTATCCTATGTCGGTCTCCTGACTCTAAGCTAGCTCCCTACCAATTTTCAGCCAAATCTATTCTGCCATTCTTGAGTTATAAGTAGTGTAACTAACACGACTTTCTTTTATATATATAGATTCTGTTCATGTTTCTAACACACATATATAATGTCGACTTGTACCGAACTATGTCTAAGAATCAGAATTACACATACTTTTGATTGTTGTATCATCATAAATCTTAACCATTATAACTATGTAGATTAAATGACCATACAATGTTATGGTGCAAGCTAATCTAATTATGGAATTGTAATGTGGGTAAAGAAACCTTGGGCTACTTACAGTAACCATAAGTATTAGTGGCTACGTCCTGATGGAGAGAAAATTTAACTACAAATGTGTTTTAGTTTCTTAAACCAATACGATATTAATTTCAATTCTGTAATATAATATAATATTGTGTATTCTTAACTTCGTCTTTTCCAAGTAAAACTAATAATATATATTTGCCCTTAATTCCTAAAAAGATTTCTCCGTTACTTAAGTATTACACGAAAAGAGAGTGTTCGTGCACGTGGTTAATTGAATAGCATACATAATTTCTATACTTCACTATGTATGAATTCAAATCACTAATGAACGAAACAAAAAAGAATTAACTATGCATGTTTCCTAACGAATATAAATGCAAATAAATTCTATTTAGGTATCAAGTTCATATATCGGCAATTCCTTGGGAATTTTTATTAATTTTATAGATACAACCATTTCTTAACAAACATGAGAAGACCTCAATTTTCATAAGTTTTCATTGATTTCAGATGGCGGCTCTCCATGATCGGATGAACCAGATGATCACAGCTCTCTATGCCTCTTGTAAGTAATATTTTCTTATTGTTTAAACATTTTACTCACTTATGCGACTGTCTACCAGCAAGGATAATAAAATTCCTTTTCGACTCCTAGGTTAAAGAAGAGCTGAGAAAAGCAACACATATTGGGCTCAATATGTAATGATGAATAGATTATAAAGATGAAAAGATATAGCATCACTACATACATGTTTTATAAACAAAGTCGCTATCCACCGTCTGTCTGTCCCTGTGTATGCTTAGATCTTAAAAACTACACAACGGATTTTGATGCGGTTTTTTTAAATAGATAGAGTGATTCTTAAGGAAGGTTTATACCTCTATGTATAATACATGCATATTGCATCCGTGCAAAGCCGAGGCGGGTCGCTAGTTTACTATATTATGATCATCTGTGTTTATCTAAAAGGAGAGATGCTATGATTGATTATTAAATTAACTAATTACAAAGCAAGTGATAACCTTAACTTGACCTTACAAGTGTTGTACCCATTTTCTAAGTCCCAAATAAAGAAAAATAAAATGGTTTTTATGCTCGATTAGTAGACTCGCCACTCGTCTGTCTACTAGGTTAATTTAATAGCCTACCTTATCACAAAAATGTATTATAATGTGTGCTAATATTATGTGCATAGACTTGATTAACTCTTTTTTCGCTATATCGCGCACGGAACAAAACAATGAAATACTTAGTGCGGCAAACATTTACGTCAAATTCTTTTAGTGTCCAAATATAAACATCATTTCAATGACAGACATTTGATTCATTTAATTGTTTTTAAAAGTATATACCGGTGTTGTTTAAAAAAAAACGATCAACTACTATCTACATCTATAAAAAATAGTAACCAAAATGTATTTTTCACATTAGAAAATGTTATATTTAACAATTCTTGTAGAACGGCATTTCAATAGTACTAAATTGTTACGAAAAAAAAACACCAACTAAAAAAAACACAAAGACTAAGTCGCAAACTAAGCACTAGTAAAAACACTTATAAAGTGTGTTGACGTATTGCGAATTCATACTAATATAATAACAAAAAAATATATGTATGACCAAGTTAACATGTAAAGACATTCATAAATTAACAAAATAAATAGTTGTTACCAATTTACACAACAAAATATGTCAAAAATATGGCAGGAATATACCTAGGTGATTTCATCTTCGTATCATTTTGAAAACTTTATGTTAAGGTTAGGTACTCGAGTATTTATAACACAAGTTAATACAACTGCAGCCGTACATGGATAAATTCAACTAACTACATACAATTACTGGAAATTAATCTAGAACAATAATAAAAAATCTGTTCATTTACAAAGTAAAAACAGAATATAAAGTATATATGAAAAAAAAATTATAATGTTATAGTACATACTACATAAAAATGTCGTATACACAGAACATCTTATTTATATGTTCTGTGGTCGTATATCATAAGGTCGTATTTCAATACGACCGACTTGAAACTAAGTACTTAAGTATCACATATTGTGCAACCGATAAAACAACTGACTGTGTATTTCGTGTGGAATGCAATTAATTAATGATGTTGTTTATTTAGTATGTAGGTGCGATCAAAGGTACAACTCCGACATTTAACTAATACATAAGTACTTGAATATTGCAATTCAGTATCGTCATTTTACATAATTGCTCATATTTTGCGGCCCAAAGAATATGATCAGAACATGTTATGACTTCGAAGTGTGCAAAGACCATCACTGTTTATTGATATTTCTATTATCATCGTCTTCAAAAATGTTTTCGTATATTCCATTTCCAGCTCCGCTGTTATCAAAGGTGCAGCCGCCTACAACCAGTCCTCCAAGTGATGAGACTCCACCACCTACAGAGTACACCACACCACCACCAACGACCACATACGACCCTTCTTCGTACCTTTACCCCCAAGTAATATTTGTGTCCTCTTCTCCTCCTGCTGCACCTAGTCCTCCAATAGCTCCCGTTCAAGCTCCAGCCCCGCGGTATGCTTATGAAGTTAGTCCACCCCCTGAATTTACTCCAAGTCCGCCAAAACCTCCTCAACCTTTATCATATGGTTATGAATATCAGTATCCTCCATACGTTCCTCCCACCTATCCTCCACCGTGTACTCCGTACCCATACCCTTACCCGTCACAGCATGAACAGCCTCCTACTGCTTACAAACCATATTCTCCACCAGCTTTATCAACAACTGCGTACAAACCATATCCTCCACCGCCCGCACCACCAGTTTCTTATCCGCCAACTCCCTACCCAGTAGCTACTCCCTACCCAGTAGCTGCTCCCTATCCACCTGCACCCAGTTACTATCCAGCTCCACCACCTTGTCCTCCTTCATATCCCCCTCCTCCTGTGTATCCAGCTCCCCCGACTTATCCCGCATCCTATCCAAAATATGAAATACCACGCTATGCTTAATATGTAAAGGTTCAAACATATTTAATTACGTGACTTAGATAAGTATTGAATTAATAAATTATATTTATTACATTTGTGTAATTTATCGTTTTTTTTTGTTTCCTTAACAACTGAGAGATATTAAGTACTTACTCTTTATACAAAGATCAATGTATACCTAATGTAGGAATAAGAATAAATGTTTAATGTTCGACTTCTGGCTATCTATTAACTGTGACGATATTTGAAATCACAACATCGTACAGTTACGGTAATTATGTAAAGTGATGCAAATAATTACATTGTATTAGTATTTCGTAACAGAAAGAAAAGCAAAAATGCTTTGAAATCTACGAGTACATGAAGAATCTTAAATGATGACGTTATCTACCCTACGATTTTTCTATGTCCGAAATGCATTTCTAATAAACTATTTCTAGATTATAAAATAACACAAGCCTAGTTACACAGGAACTGGTAACCCAGCTATTGTGTCGACCATGTAGAACTAAAGAAGTACCTACGTATTCCGATTTTTTATAACATACTTTGATAGTTCTTTTCCTTTTGCTGTAGACGCCTCAACTACACAACAGTGCTTTAATAAAAATATCTATCTCACATCATATCTGTTGTATGTTTTGTTACTTCTCACAATATGAACTTAGACGATGAAAATGTCGCGGAGTTACTGGGGCTCCGTCTCGAAGTGCAGGAGAAGGAACAGGATGGTTTTTAGTCAGTAAGATTCTGACACTCCCTCCCACTTCACTCACCCAGACGGGAGAAGTCATTCGATGATTTCCCCCCTTAAAAAAATACGATGAAAATACAATTGAATCTGAAATGAGTAAATTATCAGGAAGTGATGATGAAAGATGTAAGTGCGATCAAGATACAGAAAACAACAAAGTAAACCATTTTGCACGACGTTTTGCTTTTGAAATTACAATATTTTGTAAAAAATATTGCTCAAGCTTAAAAAACATGTCCTATCTAACATTGAAATAGTTATTTAGAAAGTTTCAAAATGATTTCCTAACGAATTGATTGTGGTACATATAAATATATGAGTGAGACAATAGAGGACACAACACGTTCACCATGGCCCTTCTGTACATAACCATCGCTTTAGCGATCCAGGTAATTAATACTATTCTGTATTTATTAAGTATTTTCTAAACTTACGCAATAGATACGAACTAAAATAAATTCTAAATCATGAAGCTAGACATGGAGTATGTTTTTATAGTGACTTAATTTCCTTCTATTTTATTAGAATTTAATGAAAATTTTTATGTATTATATTTTACATTTTGATTACAGGGTTCATTCGCCTTCGATAATGTAACGGATTCTCTAGAATATGTCAACAGCTGTGAAGTAGTAAACACGACAGTGGAAGTTGAAAATGAAGTTTTTGTTGAACCCCCACCGAAAGACCAGAAGGAATGGATCGACTTCTTCCTACTTCCTGACACTCACTTGCATCCAACATCTTCAGTTGCCATGATGTCCCAAGCGATCAATTCAGAGAAGTCAGTCGAAGAACAACTAGATGAAATCAAGGAAATCGCACAGAAGATCACTCTCGCTATACAAAGCGAAATGGCGAATCTCTTGTCCTATGCCCTCAATAGTATTGAAAAAGATGAAAACGAACTTGGAGAAAACAGCTGTCGTAAAAAACGATCAGTTGAAACTCCCATGGCCAGCACACAACTAGTTACCAGATTGCTTAAACATATTAAAAGTAACAACGAATATCAGAACATTGCCATCGACAAAATGATGACCGCTCAAGAAATTGCTGACAAGTATGGAATTGAGTTCAGTCCTGACACTGAAATACTGTCTGACCTCGCTATTGCGGCTAACCAGCAGGCTGATGAGATGAACTCGCTGTTACAAGAATCTTTAGAGATGAAAAACGTTTCTCGTAGTGTCCCAACACCATTGAAATCTAAAGTGCATCCTGAACAGAAACCTGTTACGCCTGCTCAGCCAGCCACGCATCACCATCACGTGGACCCTTACGCTTACAACTATCCTTATGAAACTCAGATCCCTGCTCCTCCTCAGAATTACTACAGCAGCCCGCCTGTGAGTAAGAGACCAAACTTTTACGACACCGTGTCTTACGCTCCTCAGGAATACTCTTACTGCTCAATGGAGCCTGTAACTTCAGCTTCAACTATCATTTTGCCTATTGAAGATATTCTGGAACCTGAACCAGAACTAGTAGGTGAGGAGCTAGAAGAAACAATTTCTTCTAAAGTGTACGTAGATAGAGGAGAAGAACCAGGCTCCGCTACAGTCAGTCATGTCATGACTTACACAGTCGGTGAACGATCACATTTCAGAACACCAGAAATTGAGAGGTTACCTCAACAAATGCAATATTGCTTTTTCCTCGTATAAACTTTAATTACGATAGATTAATTATTATTATTTTAGTAATACTTGTTATGTGTCTTGCCTGATTACGAACGAATAATAAAAAGGCTGCGATGAAATAATTAGTCTTTTTCTAACCTCCTATATTATAATTTTCTTAAGATAGAAATGAATGAACTACTACATTTCACGGTAATGTTCTTGGGGCCTAGTTATGTGGTCAAACTGCTTTCTTTGGGAAAAATAAAATCCATTTTCGACTTACGTCAACTTTAATAGATTTAAATAAATATCCAAACATATTTACTAAATCTTAATCTATCTTATCTTTAGCTATGTTCCTTTGGTTTATATTTGGCACATTTAGACTGTTGCATTCCTTTACTTCATTTTCTAATAAAATGAAGTCGAATGCGCTAATGTTTTGGTAAATATCAAAATTATATTATACTATAATAATAAATACATTACACGTGGTAACAAAATAAATTTCAATAAGGTACGTTTAAATATTTAAGGCACATCTATTGCAGGGGAACAGTGCTTTACCAATAAATGTAATATTTGAGATTAAACAATTTGTTAGTACGTAGATACCTTATACAAATATTTGGCTTTAATCCTGCAGTCGTAGGTGTAAACCCTTTCCTTTGGTTATTTATACATTTCACTGATAAAACGCTTTCATTAAACCAAATTACAACATTTAATTATGTGTGCGTAACATAAAATATATTTTTATTTCGTTTTTCAAACCAACTTTTTAACATAACCTATGCACCATCTGGCAAATAACCGCTACTAATTAATTTATAACGCCAAAACTAATTTATAATTTAAACATACATCTTTTTCACAAAAAATACCTTCCATCGCAAAAGTACTCACTAAAAGAATATTTTACACAATACTTTTTCACCAAAAATTTTTTTTAATTCCGAACATTTCCTACGGATCCCTAGTCCCAAATCACAATCCTGCTACGCACCTACAGGACGTCTGTGGTAACATTTTGAATTTGACTAATAGGTACCTAGACATACATTGAATTTTTAACATTACGGACTTTCAAGACGAGTTGTTATTATGTTTGTCATATGAATAGGTATGCTTGCTTTCGTAATTCAAATGTTATCACAAACGATCAGCGCACTACACAAAATATTGCGGCTCTATAAACAAAAATCAATGTAATTATACCTTTTACAATAATCTCAAAAGAGGTTTCATTAATTTAAAAAGTAAACACCCATAGAGCCACAATAAATCACTTTTTTATTTCATCCCCCAAAATGGCGGTAAAATTGACAGATGGTGCGCATTTCAGCGACACGGTCGCTCATATCTGTCGCATCGCATTGTGGTCAGCGGCAGCCGGTGTCTTTACAATCACTACCACTATCGCTCGTCGTTACACAGCCAGCTATCTGTGAGCGTAGTAAGCACTGTAAGCGCTGTTGTGGCCTGAGTGGGGCTGGTAGCTGTAACAACGTAAAATATTCTTTAGTTAACGCCTGTTATCTAATAAAAAGCTTTGTAGAGTCTAAGTTTAGAATTAGATGCTTCATTGTCATGGTTCCAAAGTAAAATGAGTACTGACCGCACTGGGTGTGCGTGTGGCGGGTAGAGCGGGCCGCATGCGCTGGGCTCGGCGGCGTACGGCTGCGCGAGCTGCGGGCACGCCTCGGCTGCCGAGGACTCGCGCCGCCGCGCGCCGCCACGCTGCTGACTCTGTTCGGGGGGACTGCAAACACAAACGTACGAATTAGTTAGGTGCATTGTTAATTATCTACTCATAATGTTGAATATTAATCGTTATTCAAAATTGTCATAAATGGTACGGATAAATTCAATAGTATATGTTAAAAAAAGGAAATGTCGTTTTATTCCTAGATACATATTGTGTTCTGATCTAGAATTTAAAACAGAAAAATACACTAAATAATATTATCTTATGGTTTTCAAAAATTCACATTCCCATTACACCCTAAAAATTCATTCGTAAGCTGCCGCCACTAAATACGTTAACAGGATTTTACATGAGCACGTTTAAAAAATAGAGATCTCACTAATCATCTTTAGTGTCCAACTAAATTAATGACTGCTAACTATCAACATATGATAGATATAAAAAATAATAATAATGTCCTCGCCCGCCCAGTAGGCGGAGTCGTATTACAGGCACCGTTCGTGTTAATTCTCTATTTTGACAGCGCGCGACAAATGGCGTATACATTCATCCCAGAGTTATTAATCTACGGTACCAGGAAGCACAAAAAAGTTTATGATAGTTTTTGTCCAGCTCTAACTGTTTATGCACATGACGATTGATTTTTCACAGAAGTTCCGATAATTAATCACTTAATTGCTGAAACGACAATTTGGTTATAAATAGTCGATAGTTTTTTTGTACTGATATAAAAACTATTTTTGACAATAAACTGTGACTTAATGAATGATCGTATCCAACGTTATTATAACAAGGAATAAGATTCTCACCCAGATACGCTATTGTGTTACTACGACACTACGCAGCAGCCCTACTACGCTGCTACGCTGCTACGACCCTACTACGCTACTACGCTAATAATCAAATTAGAACTTTAGACTTTGTGAAGTAATAGCTTGTACTATTATTATTGATAATTCGATTATGACTACTCGATCGACCCGCTAACCTTTCTGTACGTAACATCACAACGTTCAATCATCATAATTTCTTTTAGTTCGCATGTACACAAAATCTAGGAAAAAAGGGAAACCTATTATTAGCCTTAATCTCTGTAATACACACAACCTATTTTAAATTATATGTAACGCTGTTGGTTTTATAAATAAAATAAATAATTATGGTCAGACAGATATAAACTAACATTGTTGAATAATTAGAAGTCCCATATCTGTAGGAATCAAAGTCCGTGCTATCATTGTCATTTTTGGCCGACTCCTTTATTAAATTCAAAATCTTTTGTTGGAGGAAACATTCCAAAAACGAAACAATAAAAAAGATATAAGCACATGAATGTAATCTAAAATAGATACATTATATGCTCTGATTAATAGCAGCAAAAAGCAGTGTGTGCTGTATGTCTTTCTATATTGATTTATGCTTGCAATATCTAATGATGCATCATTAAAAAGTACCAATACCATCGTCTCGCCTAAACATTACGTTCGATTGGTTAAGTCTAGACTCGTAAATTGCTATAAAAGATACCTAAATCGTATACAGTTTATGAAACTAAGAATAATGGGCGACAGGCAAGATTTACTACCAACAGGGTAACCAATACAGTGTACAGATCGACAGTAGCAGAGTTCGTAAAACCAGCAAACTAATATATCATGATCCCTCTGAAGTAAAACGTTTTAATGAAAGAACGAGACGGAATACAAACGCGCGAAAGAAAGTAACAAGGATAGCGATACATTCGGAACTACCTTCAGACAGGTCAAGTTATATTAAGATAAACACGAAGTTCGTAAACGGTTTAATGTTTACATGTACAGTCAGTTACAGCGCTCTTTGGATATTTTTAGTTAAGTGAGGTTTAATGTGGGATGTAAACAAATAGGTCCTTATTTTAATTGAAAATTAAACTGTGTTTATATAAGCTGCTTTGTAGGAATATACTAAGTACAACCGGCGACAAAAGTCAATAAACATGTTTTACTTTGTTTATTATTTGTTGTTATCTATATTAATAATTTCGTCAAGAAGTACAGTAGACTCGATCGAAACATTACCTGAATAACAAAACATAAAAAATATCGATTTCAAGTCGACAACATATATCCGCAAAATTCGGATTATTTCGTTTTATTAATTCATTTTAATGACACTGACAGACAAACCGCAGGCGCCATAATGAGTAGACAATAAACGTTCCATTTCTTATCTGGCTCTCAAATACGCCTCGCTAATCAACACGTTGTCGCGTCAAATAGTGTAAATTAACAATAAATATGAATAATTTCATGGGTAACAGCTAGTAATCTAATAAAACATGATTTCAATTTGAACTTCGAGCAGATATATTTATAAATAAAATAAATAAAAATAAAATTCATTTATTTCAGGCACATGCCCATAGAAAATTATTTTATTCACTGACAAAAAATTAAAAGTATTTTGTTGAACATATTTATCCGAAATACTAAAAAGAAACCGTGACAAATGTCAGTTTCTACTAGATTTTTCTTGTTTTAATAACTATCGTGAGACACACTCGGTATATTCACGTGAGTAACCCGCGTTTTTATTTAATTTAGATTTTTCTTATTCTTTCCCTCATTGAAAACTCAAGAGCTTCAACAAGAATTAAGAACGCAAGAGCTTTAGTTCTTAACTTTTAAAATAAATTCACAAGGCATACAACAAAACCAAACAAACTAAAATAACGCTATATTGGGTAAAACCTGAAGCTATAAAACCCATGGGTGGCACCGATTGCTTACCATCAGGTGATTCGTCTGCTCGTTTACCGACTTCCCCATAAAAAGATCACAATAGTATAAAGAAATCCCATAATTACGTATTCTGTGCCTATCTGTACGATTTTACATAGAACTTTATGTAAAATGCATCCATCCAACAGTAAAGACAAGTAGGTAAATACGTTGAACCGATAATGTTTATAAGAAAATTAATTTAACTCCGAAGGTGCCCGCCTCCCAGGCGTTTGATAAAAACCAGGTGCCCCGACTTTACCAATTGATCTTTATTTACCTTAGTTGCTTCATATAAAACATCTAAACAGTAAATTGTAAGTAGGTACCTAATCTTACAATCATCGTATGTAAAGGCATGTCTATGAGCTGTTTTGTTAGTTATCATTTATCAATAATATACGTTACCCTAGCCTTGTCACATTTCACATAGTTATTCAAAATGTGGTACGCTCATTTTACTTCCATGGACTTGTAATTTGTGACTCCGGTTAACACAGGAAATAGTTTCAGTACATGTTTGATATATTTAACCGTTATGAAGAAGAGACAGACACTAATTAAAACTTTAAGATATCCTAATTACTAACTCCGGAATAAATTATTGGAAACACTATAACTATAAATTTTGAGGTTACAAATATTTTTTATTTTGGCGGGAACGGGAAACGAGCCGTGTCCGCCATAACTGTCGCGCGTAACTCTTTACTCTATAGGCACGTCGTAAAAGTAAATTGTCACCGGCTGTTGAAATGAGTTCCGAGGCGTCGCATGAAAACTTTGTAAATAAATTGATTCATAGTCCTGTGTGGGGAGCAAGAGAAATGTGGTTGCGTTTACCCGATCGTTAACGTGTCTCGTTAATTTCTTTAGACGGTTTCATGTCAAAATATGGCGCGAAATAAATTGTGGAAATGTTTCTCAAGATCACAGAAAAGAAAGACAAATTCAGCTCAAGATGCAACATTTTTCCTTGTTTTTGATCTTAAAGAAGTATGATATTATAAGACCAAACGGTTTGAATTTTACAAAGTCAAAATCAAAATCATTTATTTCAATTAGACCAGGATAGCACTTTTGAACGTCAAACAACAAACATTTAGAAGTGAAGCTATTTGCTCATTCCAAGGTGTAGATTCCTATGGAGAAGAACGAGCAAGAAACTCCATAGGTTACTCTTTTTCAATCAGGTTTACAATACAAATCTCTAGTTACATAGTAATTTGGACTCACCAATCATCGGGGTCGCAGTCTCTAAATCCTTTCGCAAAAGGATTGCTCGCTATTTTCAATTGCGTTATCTGAAATACAAATAAGAAAATACTTATAGGTACAATAAATTATTCACCACCACAAGAACTAAAGATTTTAAACTTCTTTAAACATGTTTAAAAAATACATATCAATCTTATAACTGTTAGTTAATCCGGACTAGAATTCGAACTTCAAACTAGAGATACTTTAATAATCATATGACATAATTCTCCAAACAATAAATCCTTTATAAAATACGTTAAAAAAATTTTTCTTCAACCCCCTTTTTTAAGTCGGTTTATTGTTATAGGTACTAAAACCTTCTCCTAAGCGTAACAACCACTTTTCTGAAAACCACATTAAAATCGGTTCCGGCAATCGCGTCAATGGTGCACAAAAATACATACTATACGTAAACTGAAAACCTCCTCCTTTTGAAGTTGATTAAAAAACAAAACAAAATCATTTATAAGGACTAATTCATTATTAATTCGTATTTTGCATGTTACATTATTATGTTAAGCAAAAAAACTTTATTGGGACGATAGCAAAGGGTCGCACATGCTTCTAGACTCTTTTTACATACCGCGGAGAACCTAACGGGTTACCGGGGCTCCGGCTGGAAGTGCATTGGTTGGAACGGGGTGGATTTTAGTCAGTAAGAGTCCGACACTCCCTCCCGCCTCACCCAGGCGGGAGCAGTCATTCGATGATTTTTCACCCTTAAAAAAAGACTCTTTTTACATGATTACTAACCCTATGGTTCTGGTAAGCGGTGACGGCGGTGAAGCCGGTCTCTGGGAACACAAAGGTGCGGTAGGGCACGGTGCCGGGCGCGCTGCTCTGTCCCTCGCCCGGCAGGTACACCACGTGCAGCCGCGGCTGGTAGCGGTGCATCGAGTTCAGAATTATCTGCACAAACAAAATACACTCAATTTCATAACATTATTTTACATTTGAAGAATCTGAATATGATGAAATTCTTTGAAGATGATCACAACCATTTGGTTGTGTCACTTAATGAGAAAACTGAGGTTGTGTGAGAAAACCAAAATATTTGTGTAGAGAAACTAAAAGGTGCTGGTTACTCACGTGTCCGTTATCATCAAGCTGGTTGTTGGTCAGCTTGAGTTTATCGAAGGAGACGAGCTGCCGCATCCAGTTAGATCCGGGCGCGGGTGAATCCGGATGCACGTGGATGCGCGGCGGCGACACCGGGTCCGCTTTACCCGCCACCACCCAACTTGAACTATAATATCACCAGTTTAGTTGAATTCTAATATACGGGGATCTATAATAAACTGAAATATTTGTAAAGTCTACATAGGAAAGTTCGTACCTGTGGAAAGCATATCGATATCTCTTGTCGTCAAGAGGTACGAAGTCGACCAGCAGCAAGTAGTCTGCGTTGGGCAGTAGGCCCGCCAGCCGGGCCTGCAGCGCGGGGAACATGCGCCGCCCTGCCTTCGTCACGATCATCTCAGTGCCCAACTCGTGAAAGCTGCGCCACAGGGCCGCCAGTTCCAACGTCGCAGTGCATCGTGCCACCGCTGGATGGAGAGTCACATTTTGGTTCGACGCCTGCTGGACAAACTCCTGTTATTGAACATTATTCGGAGAATAAACGACTGTAGGATTTTGTGAAAAAGTTGTTTGAGGAACATAGTTAATGCTGGATCGGAAGGATTTGTAAATGAAAAATGATTGAATGTATGTTTCTTGAAGTTGTAACAAACCTGTACTCTAGGCGGCGGCTGCGGTGGCGGTGCGGACACTCCTGGATCTCGACATGTACTTTCACTGAGTGCCTGCAGTGGGGAGTATGTGCTGCGCGCGCATACTGAATTCTAGCAACAAAATTTTAAAGGTTAAACGTGCAACTTACAAATGAAATCAAGTTATACAAAATTTATCTATTTCGACTGTTCCGGAAAAGACATCAAGAAGATATTAGTAGATAATTAAATATACAAATAGTACTTACATCTCTGATGGGATGATGTAACGGCGGTAGTACGGGAAGTTGCTCATGATCTCGACCGAGCCGCTCAACCAGCGACTGAGACAGTGCAAACCCACCCCGAGGACATCCGCTCGACGATACAAGACCTGCGACAAACACAAAACTCTAAGAAATACAGTAAAGCCCGTCTTTTATTATGATGATCTGAATTCTGATATCTGAACCGGAGCCGCGGAAGACTTAATGAGTTGTCAGGGCCCTGGCTCGAAGCAGAAATAGGAACGGGTGGTTTTTCAGTCAGTAAGAGCCTGACATTCCCGCTCGCCTCACCCAAGCCGGGAAATGTTTATTTTCTTATTTATTTATTTATTTTATTTAGACTTAGTACAAAAAGATATGTACAGGTGAACTTAATGCCTTGGGCATTGTCTTACATTTTCCACCATTATTAAAAAGCCTAGAATTATATGCTACATATACATATTACTTAGGTCTTACCACAGCGATAACAGTAAACCTGATACGTAACTATTATAGGTGTGTAACTAGGCGTTAATTTGCATTAGATCAGTACTTATTCTAGGTGTCACGTTTTGTGTTATTGCATTTTTACAGAATATATCTGCATCTCTTTACAATTACCAACCAATTTAATTACCAACAATATTCTGTTTTACAAATCGATAACTTTTGTTTAGGTGGGAACACACAACATACACAGTAAATAAGATTTCTAATAACGAATTTAGAACGTTGTTTTAATTTTAGTAAATGATGACAAATTAAATAAACTATGTATACACAAAAATGTACACCTGTCAAGTTCAGTATAGTAATCATAAAAATTACGTTCTTCATTTTCTATAAGATAACACCATGGTATTATTGAGAAAAAGTGTGAAGGAAAAATCAGGAAAATGTCTTTAGTTGTTTACAATTTATGACGCATAAATATATCAAAAATATTCTGCTATTTAGAGCTTCTGAACGCATATAATATCAGGGATTGTATTCTTCACAAATAGGAAGAGATGCAGGTACACAACGGTACAGTTGTAGCCTATCATTGTACATATATGATGCTATAGAAAGAAAAGACGAAAATTAAAGATAATGTTATACCGCCGTTCTTGAATTATTAAAGGCATAAGTAACTAAATAGACCTTGTCTCAAAACTAATTAAAAAATACCTATATATGTTATAGATAAGAGCTGAATATCAATCAAGACACAATGTTATGTTGCATAACAACAGTACTGATAACTAGAAAGGGACTTAGCAAGCAATAGACATCTAGTGAGATCACTTACACCTAATTAATTCATTTAGTATAATATCCAGAGCACTTCATCTGACTACAGTCTCTGATAACTTGAAAATAAAATATTTCAGGAACATGAAATCGATAAATCCACAGATGTTAGGGCTTCAGACACTAGTCACTACCACATTTGTACTCATAAAACTGCACACTATAAAAAAATAACAAACAGTCTCATAAAAACCGTAAAGCGTCCACCCGGCGGCGGACATCTCACTCAACTAATTGGTGTAATGGCGGGAAAAGTCAAAACGCGTCTAAAATGGCGGCAATAATTTTATCGCGCGTTGTCAAGACGGGAATATAAATAAGACGGGTGATGAAAACTATACTTACGTAGAGACGACAATGATCTTAGTTTTATTTTAGTGAGCAATCGACATTTATTTTTGTTCAACGTACACACTATTATTATATTAATTCATACTGCTACGATGATCTAATCTAATTTTGGAATTTTATGCATTAATCGAAGGACATATTATTATGTACTTATGTTCATTTCAAGAACTCAGAAATCAAAATGATAATACAATGCTCAGTAACAACCTTGCACCTATATATTAAATAAATCAACCGTAGGTATATTTTGAACTTTTTTTTCAAACATTTCGGTAAACCTCCTAATAAGTAAGTACTAAAACTAAAATAAGTACCTAGGCATCTTAATCTGAACTACGTGGATTATTTTTAAATAAGTTTTGTAAATAATTCTTATTAGAGCTTTTTGACAATAATTATTGAAAAATATATGAAAATTAAATACGTTACTTAACAAACTTCGTTTAATCAACAAACTTCATTCAATTATGGATTAATAATAAAGATTTTCTGAAAAGTTTACAGAGATAGTTCAAATAAAGCAAGCATTTATGTTTCTTTAACAAGAGTCATGTTAATGCGAGACATTTTTAATCGTATTATGATACTAATAAAAATACCACAGTGTGAATTCGCGCGCTCCCTGTCCATGTAATCGGAAACAATAATTTTATTCCCTCGCATTGAAAAAGGCATAATTGTCAGTTTATGAGTTATTTGTGTGTTGTCGCCAGGCACTAATGTGGCTTTTTAATGTATAAATCAACAAGATTTATGTTACCAACACAAATATTGCAGTTGTTTACTCAATAATATTTCATTAAATATAATTTTATATTGCAATAAAAGGTCAATTTCACCTATTATAAAAGTTCCACTTTTCAACAAATGAAATTCTTATGCTCTTGTTCTTGTATACATTTATCTATTCTACGGCAATTAACTACTAATGGCAATCGCATGAATATTCCATAACCTTACCTAATGCTTGTAAATTGAATGATCTAAATTTGAATAATGACACTTATAAAGTCACATAACCAAATAAATTTCGAGAAAAAAAAAAAATACGGTGACAAATATGTACATAATTATTTAAATAAAATAGAGATATTTATTGATTTTATTGGAGCAAAAAAGATGTCGGCCATCAGCTGAGCATTTTAGGATAGTTCTACACCAATTTGAATACAACAAATCAAATCATTCCCGCTCTGTTTGTTATTTTATTTCCACACTATAAACTGACAACATTATGTACGACCAGCTCTAAATCAAATATCTGAATGGCAAATACCGTTATAATACCCATTCATTCACTCGATATAATTAGACGGATCGATTAAATGTGGGTCGATAGTTTGTTAGACAATAAATATTGATGGCATGGACAGCCAGTACCAAGGTGCCGCGTTTGTTCCACTCCAGTTGCAATCATATTTGATGCAAGTGCCAAGATCGAGCTCACATTGTGTGTTTTTAAAACGTCTATAGTCTACCGGTACAGCTACCAGTCTGCGTGTTCATGTTATAATGCTTATTAAAGACCAGCTTCAACTAGCGACTCTCCGTTGGATTAAAAGGAGCCTATATGATATTCCAGACCTTAATCTAGTGTTTCAAATTTCATTCCGTTCCATTCAGCCGTTTTGCTTTCACAAGCTTGCATACGCTCAAAACTTTCGCTTTTGTAATGTTTGTTACTAGGTACAATTTTATTATCTTATCAAACAATACAGAGATCTAAATTGTTTATACCTCTTAGATAGAACGATGTCTATCATATTCTATGGATATTATTTTGTAAATGACTTTAGTTTCAATCAAAAGTCAGGTTTTTTTAGGGTTCCGCAACTGTAAAATAAGAACATTGACAACTGAATGTTTAACCTAATCTCCTTTTCAGATAACGGTAAAATAAATAGAAAATAATGTACGTATTATATCCATTTAAATATAAAATCATATACCTATTAAGATAGAAAATCACTAAGGAATATATATTCCACGTAATATATGTAAATAAATTAAATAGCAATGACTCGTTCGATAATCTAATAACACAAATCAGGGGAACTAAAAACTATTAAAACGAATGTCAATAGGTTATTGTAGTTCTAAGTACTTGTGTCAACTACAATGACAGCTGGTATCAAGGTCGACAACTTTCAAATTATAAGAATACAATTCCCGGCGGATATGTCCGTGTAATTCATTACTAACTAAATATAGGGATCAGTTTGCTAAAATTAAACATAAATAACAGGTAAAGTGATCTAAGCTGGAACTAGGATGTCATTCACAATGTCGGTAGTGTCAATATGGTAGTAAACAGCTAGTCATGTATACAATACTGTTATCGCAATGTCAAGACGGATACTTTTCTATGGTTTCTGTATGAGATACAGACTTATGACGTCATCATGTTGTTGTGTCAAATATAGCATATAATTATTACCACCCGATACTGACAGAATAGTCGACAACATCGTCAAGAAAAAAAAATAACATAAAATTATTTCTTAAAAAGTAGCTGGTTTTGGCTAAGGGAGGAGGAAGTCTCTTTGAAAATACTGTTTAATTTATAACTCTTAACTTAAATAAAATAGTAATCCTTTAGTCTGTTTTATTTATTTTTATTTTTATAAAAAAAAAATTATAGCTTAAATTAGATATCTCACGTGGGTTATTAGAATTCTAATGTTTAAATATTTTTAGAGTTTTCATAATCAGGTTGCAACAAATATTGATAAACTGCTTGCATTTGTATTGATTGCCAGATCTATAAATGTTAAAACTGATATTAATTTTGATTGCCTATTAGATAAAATATAAATGTCAGTAAAGGTCATAGGTACAAAGACCATATCCCACGATTCACAAAATATTTCCTTATGTATTTGCCGACGGAAGGAATAATTTTGGCAATTTCGACACGTTTACTTGTGTATTCTTCAAACAGTTTTAATTTAAGTTACATAGGTAAATTATATTTTTTTAAGGAGGAAAATCATCGAATGACTGTTCCCAACTGGGTGAGGCGGGAGGGAGTATCAGACTCTTACTGACTAAAAACCACCCCGTTCCTTCTCCTGCGCGTTGAGCCGGAGCCCCGGTAACCCGTTAGGTTCTCCGCGACAGGTAAATTATGTTTAAGATTAAAATACTGGTGTTACAAAATATACATAATATCCTTTTTATGGAGACAGACGTCGACATAGAAAAATAATAATATCGACCAAAAAAAGATGAGCGCAGTAGGAGCACGACTATTAATAAACGGTAATTATTTATCAATGCAATTCTAAATATTTTTAGAATAGACTTAACACATGACATAATTGTATTACTAAAACTACCATCCAACATAACTTCGTCATTATGTTGCAATCGCAACACAGTGATGCAACTATCCAAATACACTGCGCCAATGAAAAAAAACTATCAAAATTACTTTCTGTATCAAAGGTTACAAAAGAATATAATGTATTTTTAAATGCATTATTTCACTAACTCGTTTCTGATCAACCTCGAAGTTAATGTAGTGTTTGACATTGCTGAAGTTTTAACAGTTTAAAAAAAATCGTACGGAACCGCCACAGTAGTGGCCTTACAAAAAGGTTTTAATACTAATGACATGAAGTAGGCGTACAATAAGGAGGTTGGAAGTATTTTAGAAGTCTTCATTCATTGCTGTTCTGTGGTCCAAGATGAATGTGGCTGTGCTCGTTCTGTTCGCGTGTGTGTGTTGTGTCGCGTGTACACAAAGGTATGCGCATGTAGTGCCTCAAACTGTTTACCGTGAAGATATTGATATGTGCACAAGTGGAGACTGTCAGTGTAACCTGACTGATACTGATTATCTCTTCATGAATGTGGTGAATAGGGAAGATAGTGGACCTGGAGCGAGTTTAAGTGGTGACAGCTGTCCTCCTGGTACAACCAGACTCAACAATATATGTCAGCAAAGGGACTAATATTTATTTCAACTGTAACTATTTATGTTTGAGTGTCGTATAAAGCTATTTGTTACCAAAACTATGTATCTATTATTTCTTGGCCCTCTTCACCGTAACCCTACGTGTGTTGTGATTAATTTATTGCAAATAGTCCAGTGACTGTATGTTTATCCTTTTATTTTATTTTATTTTTATTTTATTTTTATTTTGGGGACAAGTTGTCTAACTTTTTTTATTCTCTACATTTTGTCCATTAGTGCTCTACATATTTGTTTATTTTTAGTTTTATACGGTCTATTTCAAATAGCCTCGTTCGCCAAGTGGTCGCAAGTGCGACTGCCGGGCAAGGGGTCTTGGGTTCGATTCCCGGGCCGGGCAAAGTATTAAAAAAATCTCAGTAGTAGCACGGAGTCTGGAATTGTGCCCGGTATATGGCAATAGACTCACCCCCTATTACATGGGACTCGTAATATAAAGTAGTGAAAAGTGGGTGTTACATTGTACAGTGTCCTTAAGTGCCGTAAAGGCGTGATGTTATGTTATTTCAAATAGGAATAAAAATTCGTATTCCTGATAGGACTTTTATTGTCGGTCTGCTCAAATTATAGAAAAATATTCTAATCGATACAAGAATGCGGGGTTACATCATCAAGTTAGAATAAAATTCAAATACTTAGATACTAAGTATTCAAACTCCAAATAGGGACGATGACGAATAAATATTCAGTTTGTGTTATTTTAAGACTGTAGGCCAACTGGTAGCAATCGCGACTACCTCCTTCAGCCTAAACTTATGGTCACATAAGTTGATCTAAGATGTAAGATGAAGTACCTTTACTTTTGTTTATTTAAGCACTGAACAAGCACATGGACTTGTGGAATGACCAATTATATCTAAAACCAATATTATTATTATTGGAACCGATAGTCTTATTCTTAAGGCTATTGAACATCATACTACACATTAAGTAATTCATATTCATACTAGACTCTTTCCTATATAAAAACAGATCTTTGTATTTAAACCACAGGCAGCACTAGTTATTTGCTAAATAAACATTATAGAACAATTTACTTAAGCCAAATGATGTTATAATATGTTGTTTTAGTGAAGTAGTGGAACAAAGCAAACGTTGCAAATTGGGCACAAGGATATCTTTTCGAAATTTTGCGGTAAGTAATAAGTACTCGAATTCAATAAAAATAAATATTATGATCTTTTGTGTTCATGGTTAATCAACTACTGTCTTAGAATTATAATAAATAAAGGGATAGTCGCCGGTTTGTGTGTGCATTACATTTAGATTAAAGTTGTTTAAAGCCCCTGCGCAGGTGGATTCGGCCCCTTGTACGCCTCCCAAATGATCGGGACCCTGTGGTCCCGTGATTGGTAAAGATACATAATCATAATATAATATTATAATAAAAATGTTTATTTTGGTGTAAAAAGCCAGAAATTAATTCGTGTACAAGGTATTAAGGTAAATCGAATCGCTTTTCTAACAAAATTGTCTTAATTATGTATCTAGACTATAGAGAAAACCCATACATATTTGATCGCAATCTTGACCCTGCCGCGGACATGGTATATTTATACAGTTTTGTACTGTAGAAATTGCAATACTTACCTACTTTTAAAATATATTATTTAGCTAACTTAACTCGTCGAGTACCGGTTTTATAGACACAATTAAAGAACAATAGGTCGCGGTCACCGGTGACCGCTTGGTGTTTGACAGTTTAAATCAATATACATAATTATTATTATGTATTCTAATCATATGTAGGTACAACAGCCACTTTTTGTTAATATTTTATACACAACACTTATCTAGGTATCTATCAGCCTTCTTCAGCCATGTATTAGCCTACTTCCGCATAACTAAAATATGTCAATGTTAACCTCCGGTAAAAACATTCTTCCGGTTTTGTAACACGTAACGTCGAAACGAAATTAGTTGTTTAGAACTAGCCATGTCGATTTCCAAACGTTATCCTTACTTTGTTTTTATAATAACTAACGTGAGACATACTACATTAACTAAAATCGCGGGTTACACGTGAATATACTGAGAAAATTTCCTCATGAGCAGCGTGCGCGGTCGTGGCGACGTCGACGACGTAACCCGCGATTTTAGTTAATTAAGTTATCCTTACTATTACATGAAGGGCATAGCACAAGTTATTGATAAAGAAAAAATACGTACGTGCAGTTAAGAGACAGCACGATCAAAAACTCAATTTAACGCTTTGCAAAAAGCCTATTTTACTACAATAAAAAACTTGTAACTTAAAAAAAGCGAATTGATTAAAAAACGTATCACCACGCGTGATTTAGGCTATTATCATACTTATATATATAAAAATGAAACCCGTTTTCCGTTGTCACGCCATAACTTGAGAACGGTTAGACCGATTTGGCTGATTTTTTTTGTTGTGTTTGTTATTGTCAGGAGAAGGTTCTTATGACAGAAAAAAGTCCTGAATATCCTACGGGAACGGGAGAAAACAGGATTGCGCGTACGAAATCGCGGGCAGAAGCTAGTTTGTTATGCATTTAGATTTCTTGTTACATTTTCATAACTATACGAAAAAATACTTTATCTTTCCAATAGGTACTAATAAGTAGAATAAACTGATTAAAACTTAATTTAGATAGAGAAAAGGTCAAGCGAAAGAATGTGCTCCCGAGGGTTATTCAGTAATAATGACATCACATACAAATGAACAATTATTCGGTGGTAATTAACGTAAGTTATAGAGCTAATTACATCGACGTTATTCTATATATACGTTGCAACAAAAGACGAGAGCTGGCTGCTTCCTCAGCAATAAATCCGCATTGATTGAGCGCTATAAATCTACTGTGCGCCCGCGCCGTCGCATCGGTTACACCTTCTAGGGTTGATACGCGGGCATTTTTAAAAAGATCAGTTTAATTGCTTTTAAAGACACATTATATTTAAAAAAAATAGTTCTTTTTCTTCTTATATTATACAGTCATACCTAGACTATTTTATTTGGACTTGTAGGTAATAACTATAACTGTATACTTCCTACCGTACCTATACATAAGTAATATAAGTAGGTATTTCATTTATTTAAGCCTACGTTTGTTTTGTTTGTAGTGAAATATGTAGATTATATTATTCATTATGAGAATATCAGAAGAGCAACATTACTTTATATTTATTTATTCTTTAAATATCTAAGTATATGTGAAACAATTTAGATTGGACACTTTAGTTGTTTAATTTGCATAAAGCTATAAATTCAATAATCTCCTGATAACTTCATGTGGCCGTCGTAGATTACTTAATGGGTAGATATAATAAGATGTGATTGATCACAGACGCCCAAAAGTCAATTACGGTAGTAATACCTACATAAGTAGACATACGGTTTATTGTTCAATGTCATTATGATGGGATTACAAAACCTATAGTTACCATGTTAGGTAAGGAAAACAGTTAGTTCTGCGATATGTACGATTGAGAAACACTCAAAGGTCAAATGTTCCTATAATCGTCATCGATTTGACTTTAGAACCTTCGACCACATCATCGTTAACATATTTAACTGTTATTATTCTTAGATCTCTGAACTACGAGAATGCTAAACGCCACGTATCTTAAAGATGGCTAGAAAATACTGCACTTTTAATATCTTCGATGCATTAAATGTCTACAGGGTGTCACTTTACATTATTTAGGTTGCCAAATGCCAAGCGTCGAATTTATAGACTATATGCAATCTAGATATATAGTTAGTCTTTAACAATCAAAATGATTCGCTAATCAAAATGTATGGGCCATGCGATTGGTACTGTCTTGTATATGTAGCCAATTTATTTATTGTGTGTCTAACTAAAATATATTCACTCTGGGCATCGTATTATTTGTCGAAATAGTTAAGAAGTTATTTTTTCGTAGGTTGTACATCCCTATTCGGTCACAGCACGTGTGTTGCAGCGCGGCTGTGCTCCGAGACACGTTTGATTTACGCGCCCCCAGCCCGCAACAAATTGCCGCTCATACCGCAAACAAATGCGGTATTATCATTTATACCGATATGATGAGCATTGTTTTATTCCCACTTATTAGATTTTTAGGTTTTTATGAATTAACGATTAAAACCAACATTCCACTATGTTTCTCTCATATAGAAAATGTCTGATCAACCGTACCGGATCTGATTGGGCGGTCACTTTGAATCCTAACTTATCTTCTAATTGCTTTAGGTAAATAACACAATACTACAAAGAAAGAAATCAATTACTACTTAAAACAATCTTCACGTCTTCGATGATAAGTTTCTTAAGGAAAAATATGATAAAGAGCGTGTTTGTAGTGCACCTGTCATAACATCCTATGTGTTTATGTTTACGTTGAATCCGAAACACTGCGGCGTTTTGTTTACGAAAACGTGGGCTACACAGTGCTACGGGAAATTAAGAATTTATGAATCGTAGTAGAAAATCGGTGATTTTTTTATACAGAATTCATCATTTTAAAGATTTTCAAAAGCGTGCTTTGAATTTCTTAATACTATCTTGTGCCTAAAGTAGTAGTCACAACAATGTAATATTATAATAAATAAAGAGAGGTCTTTCGAGTTGAAATAGGTATAGCTAATTTTGTAGCGTGTAGTCAATGATTGTAATATTGTACCCAAATTGTAGCTAAACTCTTAACCTTCCTACAGGTACGGGTAGTCATACCTGTCTACTTGTTTTACCTGGTTTATTATTAGTCTCAGTAGCCTCATGCATTTGGATCTAGACAAAGCAATAATAGAAAATGCTAGAGGTAATTTAGGGCGTAGTTTTAAACTCAACCTTTACCTTCACTACAAATAAAACACAGATTTATTTTTTTCTCAACCAACCTCAAACAATTCAAACTTCGAACGAACAATAAACAAATAACTGGCAACTTTGTTTATACTACAAAAGAGACTCAAAGAAAAACGATCCAGTGAATCATTGGGCTGGCGGGTTGAAATCCGTTTTGCTTACAAATAGACAGTGTTCGGAGGAAGTACTAACGAATTAGCAAGCGAGTGAGTGAGCACTTTGATCACGAAGTGGTGTCAACATTGCTCGCGAGCCTCATTAACAAACCGATCGTCGAACGTCACTCGGTGAATTCTTCACTTGTATGTAGGAACGACCGAGTGCTAAAATAGGTGGAAATTCTAGAGACGATATTGTTGTTCTACAAGTAGAGGAATCAATTGTTTATTCAGAAAAACTTTCCAGTTGTCCTGTGATTCCCCTAATGTGTAAGCTAAGGATTTTTGTTATTAGTCGTCTGTATTATATAGTCAGCCATAGTCAAATGTAAATTCTCAGTAGTATGACCTTATACCAAAACCAGTTCTCGCCGAAGGTTTGACACATTCGATAAGTAGGTACTACTAATGACATACATAGGTATTTAAAACGAAAAAACCATATCCATCACGGATATTGTCTTAAAAGACATTAACTCCGATTCCACCATTTAATTTCTAAATCTCGCCAGACATATCACCACTCGTCTTACTTATTTATGCAAGAACAAATCGTATGACTAATTCATTCCGCACAATTAGACTTTCTAACCACAAGCACAAAAAATAAGTACTTATCTATAAAACATAATGATGATGCAAAAAACGTTACATAATGTATTACCCACGTAGGAAGCAAGTAAGAGAGTAATGAAGAAAGGTAAAGGTATCTATACTATGGTTAGTAAATGTTCACCAGTAAATTAAGTAAGGGCACAAAATGTCAAATATCTGACACAAATCGTGCCTGTGGTTTTCCAGATCCGGGCTATGAGTCAAATAATGAAGGTCAATCGAACAATAAGGCAGTTCAATAAAAATTAGAAATTATTGGTTCACCGTAAAGCCACCAGCTAAAACCGTTGGTAACTTCGACTTAGGGGGGAACGAAACGTTCACGTAGCAATAGCAGATGTGTTCTAGGAAGAGGATTGTGTAAGCGAGGTGTCGCCACTGTTTTGACTGCTGATTGACTGACGCTGCCAACTAATCCGATCCACGCTATTCTCGGAGCCGAACAAATATGCCTGCGTTTGATACTATCAATGTTTACATTGCTACGTTTCTATATTTGCTAATCGTGGTGCGGTAATGTGCACGTGAATCTGCAATGTTGCAGTGAAATCTTTGATTACGGTAACTGATGGTGACGTTTGGTTCATACATCTGTCTTTATGTTCGTTTAGTCAAATACATCTAACAATTTAAGATCTTATGCGATTGGGCCTTCCTGAATGTTGTCGCTTTTACTGCACCTGTGAATGGAAGTTTCGTTGTCTTCTCTCAACGTTTAAGTTAATTGTTTAAAAATGTCTTACACAACATGACTCCTAATACCTCTTATAGTTTCTATACCAAGCTAATATAAGAATTACGTGTTCATCATCAACACCACAGCAATTTACTGCTGGACTATGAGCTTCCTCTACATAAGCGGGTTTGTCATAACTTCTACGCGTGGTAGGCAGGTTAGATATCGCAGTTTAATGTGGTAAGTACATTATATGATAATGATGATAGTCAATAAGAAATTGAAGTAGGACTTCAACATTTATGTAGATATACCTACCTACCTGTAATAAGACTACTCTGCTTATCCCTTATATTATTCAGAGTAATTTATTAGTTGGTGACTTGGAGTAGTTTCTCAGTCACAAATTATTTACTGTGAAATTCGAATAATACACTAAACTACCATTCTAGACGTCACAGTTTATTATCAACCTTAGCATCTGTAGCATTAGATCCATCATCGCATGCTGCATATCTAACTAATATTCTTGAACATAAGAATGTCAGGTGACTCAAGTACCGAAGTGTTGTGATTGCTGACAGAGAGGTGCCAACTTCTATTCTGAGTGGCGAGGCTTATCTATTGGCTGCAGTGTTCCTGGCACTAAGGTTTGTTATACAGTGAAATAAGTAATACTAATGACATATCTACATATATGAGCATTCCTTGACTTTTTTTAATTACACTGAATAGTTTGGTATTCATTTAGAAAATAATAGTAGTCTTTGTTTTCCTAAATGTCCTCTTTGAGAATGGGGTCTCAGATTTGCGACAATATAGGTATTGAGAAAAGAATTTTAAAACATATATCACTACATAGTATAAAACAAAGTCGGTATCCGCCGTCTGTCTATCCCTATGTATGCTTAGATCTTTAAAACTATGCAACGAATTTTGATGCGGTTTTTTTAATAGATAAAGTGATTCTTAAGGAAGTTTTTTATTTATAATATATGCATATTACACCCGTGCGAAGCCGGGGCGGGTCGCAAATTATTTATAAATAATAATAGATGATAGAGATTAACGTTACCTATCGTAAGTAAGAAAAGGAACCCCTATTAATGAATATGCTATTTTTTTTTTTAAATGGGTGCGTTTACAAACATACTATTTCACATACACACACACCCAGACCCGAAACAACAATTTATGGATCACACAAAGTGTTGTTCCGTGCGGGAATCGAACCCGCGACACGTTGCACGGCAGCCGGTTGCCCAGCCACCGCACCAACCGTGCAGTCATAACATTCTGCTTACACATTCTGAGAATACTAGCGTTGTTATACATATTATAGTTCAGGTACAATAATACAATGTAACTAGTGATTATTTCGACAGTTACGACAGGGACACGGTCCAACGCCACTGCTAATAGACGTTAGTGATTTGTGTCGCAGGCTTCATTGGCTCTCTACTCAGCCCGTAAGCTAATATACATACATAACTTCACGCCTGTCTCCCATGGGGGTAGGCAAAGACTAGGGAACGCCAATTACTACGATTCCTACATTCACGCTACGCTTCATTAACAGTCATCAATCTTTTCATGCATGCTCGTCGGTTAAGGGTACTTTTAATTTGGCCATTCTTTAATATATCGGCAATCTGGTCACTGTATTTCCGTCTAGGGCGCCCTCTACCGATGGTCCCATTCATATCCGCTCTGTATAAGCTAATATAGGCGTTATAAATTAAGTCTATGTGCATAATATAGTGTGTATTGTTGTACACATCAAATTATATTACAATACCTACTTTAAGAATAAAATATTGTTAGAGCAAATTAATGAATGAATTCCAAAGAATTCTCTGCTATTTTCGAAGTGATTATCGGATGCCTCGTTGGCCGAGTGGTCGCAAGTGCGACTGCCGTGCTAGGGGTCTCGGGTTCGTTTCCCGGGTCGGGCGAACTATTACTGGGTTTTTAAAAAAATTCTCAGTAGTAGCACGGAGTCAGGAATTGTGCCCGGTATATGGCAATAGGTTCACCCCCTATTACATGTGACTCATAACATAAATAGTGAATAGCGGGTGTTACATTGTACAGTGGCATAATGTGCACCTCTGCC